GTGGATACACTACTTATATGGTTCGTGGTTTAAGATGTTTAGTGGCCATAAGAATATTAAGTACCATTTTGACCAAAATGAGTTAAACATGAGATAGAATCAACGGTTAAAATTCCTTAAGAACTATGATTTTTAGCTTAGATATCATTCTAGAGCTTAATAGGATGATCTTAGATGAAGAACATAGAAGCAACCTTAGTATCCACCTAGGAGCCACTAAGATGTATCAAGACCTTAAGAGAATGTTTTGGTGGCCTAAACTAAGGAGACAGGTAGAGGTGTTTGTGTATAGCTTGCTTAGTTTTCCAAAAGTCTAAGGTACAACACTAGACACCATCAAGAAAGTTGCAACCATTAGATATACCTATGGGCAAGTAGGATAGTATATCCATGGACTTTATGGTTGGGTTACATAGAACTTCAAAGAACTTGGTTTTTGATTGGGTGATAATGGATATATTAACCAAGTCTATTTATTGCAATCCAATTATTATCTAGGTACCCTTTGGATACCAAGTTGTACATAGGGGAGATTCTGAGGTTGCATGGGTTTCCATCTAGTATGTTTTTTGATATAGGCATTATATTCATCTCTAGATTTTGAGAGAGTTTTCATAAGGCTTTAAGGACAAAGCTTAGGTTGAGTTCAACCTACTATCCCCAAACAAATGGCCAAATCGAGAGAACCATCTAATTTTTAGAGGATTTGCTTAGAGCTTGTGTTAGAACACATGGGTAGTTAATTAGGATAGTTTCCCACCTTTTATAGAGTTCACCTATAATAATAGCTACCACTCCAATATTGGAATGTCACCTTATGAAGTCCTTTATGGTAAAAGGTGTAGGACACCCTTATGTTGGGTAGAACCTAGTGAGCACTATATCTTAGGGTTGGAAGTAGTCCAACAAACAATAGAAAAAGTAAGTGTTAATCTAAGATAACATGAGGACAACATAGAGTAGGCAAAAGAGTTACTATGATAAGATGAGGAAAAACATATAGAGTTTAAAAAGGGAAATCATGTATTAATTCCTTAAAGTAACTCTTTGGATTGGTGTTGGTAGAGTACTAAAGTCCCACAAGCTTACTCTTCGTTTCATTGGTCCTTACCAATCCTGAAAAAGATTGGTGAAGTAACCCCTACAAAATAGCCTAACCTATATCTCTTTCAAATTTGCACGGTATCTTCTATGTCTCTCAACTCAAAAAATATGTCCATGACCCTTCTCATGTCCTTAAATCCAACAACATTTCAGTTGAAGGAAAATCATACCTATGAAACTGTTTATTTAAGGATTAATAATAAAAGGGTGAAGTAGCTAAGAGGAAAGAATGTAACACCCTGAATTTTCTTGTTGATTATTATTTATTAATTAAAGGGATTTTATAGAGGTTTGTATTAATTTAAAATTATTTATGAAATTTTTATAAATTATATTTTTTAGGCTGGAACGGGCTGTTCCAAAAGTGGAACGGACCGCTCCAAAAAATGAAAATAAGTTGTTTTTGAGGGACCAGAACAGGCTGTTCCAAAAGTGGAACGGGCCGTTCCAAAGAAGAAAAGACAACGGCTTATAATTCACCGATCTTTGCTTCAATGACTTTCTATCTGAATTAGGGATCAAGCACAAGATGACCTCGGTAGAGCATCCCCAAACCAACAGACAGGCAGAAGCGGCCAACAAGGTTGTCCTCAAGGAGTTAAAATGATGGCTCGGACAAGCAAAAGGCACGTGGCCTGACCACCTGCCTGAAATTCTATGGGCTTATCGGTGCACTCCGCAAAGTTTGACTAAGGAAACCCCTTTCCAGCTAACTTACGGCACAGATGCCATGATTCTGGTTGAAATAGGAGAACCTTCCCTTAGGCGGCTACAATTCAATGAACAAATGAACGAGGAGGCTCTCAATGTGGAACTAGATCTAATCGACGAAGCACGCGAACACGCGCTCGTCAATATGGAAGCCTGCCGAACCAAATTAGCAAGGAAACATCAAACGAAGGATGTGTGGGGTCCATCATTTGTTCTTACCAAAGGTGGATCTCATTATTATGTATCTTTTATTGATGATTATACTCGTTATTGATGAGTTTATCTTATGAAACATCGCACTGAATTTTTTGATATTTATTATAAGTTTCGTGCTTTGATTAAAATCCAACATAATCTTTGTTAAGAACTATAAGTACATATAAAATAAATATTTAGTTTTTAATATAATCTACAACATATTTAAAATTAAAATTCAAACACTCAACAATGTAATTAAAAAAATACAAACTATTGATACCTATGTCAATTAACATCGGTGTAAAGACACTTTTGAGAATGGATAAGTGTTCTGCTTTGTTTGGGTTAGGTATAGTGCACGTGGAAAACTACATGAGTGGCAATTAGTCAAGATTTTTATGGCAGATATTGGAACGGTGGCCATGTCCTTGACTAGTTTGGGGCATATAATTTTCAAGAATGTGTGATCAGTCAAACTTTCTAACAAACTCACTGTTACATCCAATGAATTCTTTTCGAGTTGCTCCAAGTCGTGTACAGATGGAAAACAACGGAGAGAAGAGAACGAATCAGGTTTGAGTCTTTCATCTATATCCAAAATTTAAATTAAGTCTTATTTTCGTTTTTATTATTTGTATATCCGTTTAGAAATAAAAAAAATAAAAAAAAACCTTCTGTTTGGCTTTCCTTTTGAAAATGAAAGACTATATTCACACTTATCGAAATGATAAAGAATATTAAAGGAAAATTAAGTTTATAAATGGATAATTCTCGCCGTATGTATTGGATGCGTAGAATTAAGATATATCTAAATTCATATTTTTAAAATAATATAAAAATTTATTCTATCTGAACATCCAATAGTGGATGTTATTGGATATTTTTTAAAATTTATGTTGACCAATAATCATAAAGTTAAAATAGAATATATGAGTGGAAATAATCATCATTTTATATGCTTACTTTGTTAGATTAAAATATATTCAAATACACATTCTAAGAAATATTATTAAATAATTTTAATATCAAATATAATTTTAATTACACTTCTTACTTTATATAGTTTTTCTCTCTCTTTTCATTTATTCTTTTTAGAAAAAATAACATATATGAAGATTTGGCCTTTAACTAAGTTTAAAATGTTATGTCATTTGTTTTTTTTTTTTTATATCGACTTGTTATGATTTATGAGTTACGAACGTGAATCTTCTACCTTATGATATTTGAAACAATTGTTTTATCCATGAAAGATATTAACTATGAAAGATTTTATTTACTTTAAAGGAAAAAGAAACAATATTTTGTGTATTAATGTTGGAGTAGAGGGTGTCACAAAGAATACCCATTTTCTACATAAATTTAAAACGTTTTCTAAAATTAATTGGGAGGTTTTGTAGATATGAGTGTTTTAAAATAAAAATAAATCTTACCAAATTAAATGTTTTAATTATGTATGTGCTAGAGGAATATGCTTATTTTATGTATTTATTTGTATTTTAATTAATTAAGGGAAGGAAAGCTTAATTATGGTTATAGTTTTTATAGAGGGGTTAAGTGTGGGTTAGGATTTTTAAAAAAGGAAGTTTCATCAGTTATTTTATGCTTTTCTTACTTTTCGCTTTTATGCATTTGAAGAACTTGGATAACTAAAGGTGATCAGAGATCATCCTAGAGATCCATACCCTACATCTAGTATTCATCGAGGTAAGGGAGAGTGAGAAGTCTAACTCTAGAGTGTGGAATATTATAGTGGGGTAAAGAGATTAGCCCTACATATCTCTTGTATATTCATGTGTGTTATGATGGAGAAATCCCAATTCTAGGTTATAAATTGTGAATTTATGTTTTATACTCTTCTTATGTGCTCTATTTATAGTAATTGATAAGCAATCATGTTTAATTTCGTATTTTGTATCGAATCATAAATCTACGAGTGCTTGTAGTTATTGTAGGAATCCTAAGGATAGATTAAAATGAATTAGTAAGGAATATTGTATGTTGAAGATGTTAATTGATGGCTTATTGATGTACAATTATGTTTATCGTATGTTTTTACTAATTGAAATTTGTGTAATTGCATGTTGGGTTGCCTTGTGTGATTTTTTGCACTTTCTGCAAAAGCATCATTTCTAATGCAACACCATGCATTGTGAGTCATTCTCGGACTCGAGTGATAGAAAGAAAGGATTTCTCTTTATGACTTTTATGCCGAGTGTGGAAGAGTCCACATTGTGCGTAGGAGCTCCAGGGCTCTTTGGTGCATTTTCATTAGGTGTGAGCATATATAGTCCACCAAGTGTGTTTCTTTTATCCTATATATCATGCATTCAAAATATCTCTTTTGCAAATTGTACCGTCATGGTCGGATGCCGACTCCCTCAAGCCCTCACGGTTACGGTCGGATACCGAGATGGTGGACATGCGTACGGTGGCTTCGCTAGTGACTCAACCAGTTTCCCAAAGGTGAGCTCGGTTTTCAGCGGACTTGACACGGGAGCACCCCATATCGGATTTCTCTCGACACCTCGGCATGGGCCCAACCAATTAGAACCTGTCTGGGCCCTCAGTATGGACCCCGTCGGTCAAAACCTGACTGGGCCCTCGGCATGGACCCAGTCGGTTAAACCCTGAATGGGCCCTCGGCATGGTTCCTGTCGGTCAGAACCTGGCTAAACCTGTTCCCCTTATTCCCGCGCCATCGAGATAATAACGGTTAGCAAAATCCCGCCATTCTCGGGGCCCAAGAGGCCCACGAGCGACATACTATAAAACCCAAAACCCTAGAGTTGAGAAGGCAGATTACACTTTTGAATGCTCTGGCTTTGAGGCTCGACCTAGGCAGAAACCCTAGTCCACCCCTTGGCCGGAACATTTTGGCGCCCACCGTGGGGCTACAGTGAAACTCTTCCTACGCCCCAAGAAACACAAAAAACCCACACTTTACCATGGCGAGAGGCGGCAACAACAACAACTCGCAACCACCAACCATGGAAGAAATGATGGCCATGATCAATGGCTTAAGGGAGGAGAATGCGCGGTCTAGGGAGAGAGAGGAGGCCATTCAACGAGAAAACGAGGAGATCAGGAGACGAGCGGATGAGATGCAGGCCAGAATAGCAGCTAGTACCAGGACTGTGGAGGAGGACATCATGATGGAGGTCCCTAGAGACTTCCGACCATTCTCGGAAGCCATAGAGGCCGAGATGATCCCTAGGGATCATCGGATACCACAGGTCGAACCCTTTGATGGAACGCAGGACCCCAGTCAACATTTGACGGACTTCCGGGCTCAAATGTTGATCTGTGGAGGGAGCATGGAAGTCCGCTGCAAGTTGTTCATGGGCACACTCAAGAAGGCGGCGCTTGATTGGTTTAGTGGCCTCCCCGATCGATCCATCACCGACTTAGACGTCTTTAGTCGGTTGTTTATGGCTCAATTTGCCGCTAATAAGAAGAAGCCACCGATCACGTCGGATTTATTCGATCTTAAGCAACAACGGGAGGAGTCATTGAAGGATTTCCTGCAGAGATTCAATGAGGTGGCTCTAAGGATAGCATCGGTGGATGAGAGAATGGCAGTCATCGCATTTCAGAAAGGTTTGAGGTCCGGTGCCTTCGATATTGCACTTGAAAGAGCAAATTGCCAGACAATGTCGGAGGTGAGGGCTTTCGCCTTGAGCCACATCAAGACGGAGCAGAACCAGATCATCAAAAGGACAGCTGAGAACCGAGAAGCCGGAGGTAGCAATAAGGAGGGGAACAAGCATCTTCGACCGCGATCAGACTGGAACAAACGACAAGACCGGTACAACGTGAAGGACGACAATTACAGGCAGGCCGATCACGGTGGTCGGTCAAGGGGCGAGTGGACGCGCAGCAGTGAAGAAGAGAAGTTCACTCCACTCACTGTACAAAGGCGACAAATACTCCACGATGTCAACAGTGCATCGTTGTTCGAGTTCCCGGCGGCGACGGACCGTCAGTTGGGCCCTTTCAAAACCGATTGGTGTGAGTTCCATAGGGCTCATGGGCACTCGACGGAAAATTGTTTCGTTCTGGGAAGACAGATCGAGCGTTTAATCAAGGAAGGAAGACTGAAGGAGTTTGTGGCGAGAAAGCAGGAGGGAAGCTCGTCAGATAGGAGACCCAGGCGCATGCAAGATGACACCAGGAGGGATAGGCATAGGGAGAGAACTCCTCCTAGAGACGCGCCAGCAAAGGTGTCGGATGTTCATCAGCAACCCATCCACGGCGATTTCAATACCATCGTAGGGGGCTTCGCCGGCGGGGGAACTACCTCGGCGACCCGAAAGAGGTACGCTCGGTCGGTGCTGACGGTGTCGGAATTCAGGCGACCATCTCAGCCTGAGATTTCGTTTTCAGACACGGATTACGAAGGAGTAGCCCCCCATGAGGACGACCCCGTCGTCGTATCGGCGATTGTCATGGGGTACAATGTGAAGCGCGTGTTGATTGACCAGGGAAGTTCCGCGGACATTTTGTTCTGGGAAACTTTTGAGGGGATGAAAATACCTAATGACCGACTAATTCCTTATGCAGGGACTCTAGTTGGTTTTGCAGGAGATCAAGTCATCGCAAGGGGATACGCCGATCTGGAGACGACCTTTGGCCAGGGAGCTCAGATGAAGATGGTGCTTGTTCGGTATTTGGTGGTCGACGCTCAGTCATCATACAGTATACTGATCGGTAGGCCGACTCTGAACAAATTGGGAGCGGTAGTATCCACTCCCCATCTGAAGGTAAAATACCCGTTGCCGAATGGCACTGTGGGGGTTCTCAGGGTGGACCAGGAGGTTGCTCGGAAATGTTATGGGGACAGTTTAAAGGCGCGAAGGCGACTGTACACTAAGCGGGTAGAGAAGGAGGTCCATTCTGTCGAACTGGATCCTAGAATGGGTCAGTTCGACCACCGACCCGCCCCAGCAGAGGACGTCAGAGAAGTGGAGGTAATGGAAGGAAGAAACGTGAAGATAGGTACCTCTTTGAAGCCCGAGGACGAAGAGAGATTGGTGAGGGTGCTGAAGGATAATGTGTCGGCATTTGCATGGCATTCCAGCGATATGCCTGGAATTGATCCAAATTTCTTGTGCCACAAGCTGGCCATAGACCCAAGCGCGAAAGTAGTGATCCAGAAGAGAAGGAAGTTCGGCGAGGAGAAACGAAGGGCTATCGCGGAAGAGACACAAAAGTTAGTAATGGCGGGACACGTCCGAGAAATCCAATATCCGACCTGGTTGGCTAACGTAGTCATGGTGCGCAAAAGCAGCGGGAAGTGGAGAATGTGTACAGACTTCACCGACCTTAACAAGGCCTGCCCAAAAGACTCGTACCCACTGCCGAACATAGACTTTTTGGTGGATGGGGCATCGGGATACGAGCTACTAAGCTTCATGGATGCCTACTCGGGGTACAACCAAATCCGAATGCATCCTGCAGACGAAGACAAGACCGCTTTCATAGCCGATCAAGCAAATTTCTGCTACAGGGTTATGCCGTTCGGTCTGAAGAACGCAGGGGCGACTTATCAGCGACTGATGGACAAAGTCCTTGTGAGTCAATTAGGGCGGAACGTGGAAGCTTACGTAGACGACATGGTGGTGAAGTCAGAAAGCATGAGTCGGCACTTTGGCGACTTGCAGGAATTGTTCGACACCATTGGCAAGTACCAACTCAAACTGAATCCTGAGAAGTGCTCTTTCGGTGTGGAGGCGGGAAAGTTCCTCGGTTTCCTTCTGACTCCCCGCGGCATTGAAGCGAAACCGCACAAATGCTCGGCGATCATCAACATGAGGAGTCCATGTACGGTGAAAGAGGTACAACAATTGACGGGAAGGATGGCTTCTCTCTCCCGATTTCTATCAAAAGCATCGGATAAAGCCCTGCCCCTTTTTCAATGTCTGAGGAAGAACGACCGGTTTACTTGGACGGCCGAGTGTGAGGAAGCCTTCTCGGAACTCAAGAAGTTGCTGGCATCCCCGCCGATCTTGACCAAACCACGATCAAACTTGCCCATGTTGGTATACATCTCGGCATCCGACCGAGCTGTCAGTTCGGTTCTGGTACAAGAGCAGGAGACCTCTCAAGTCCCTATTTACTTCGTAAGTAGGGTCTTACAGGGAGCTGAGACGAGATATCAGAGAATCGAAAAGTTGGCCCTCGCGATACTAGTCACGGCGAGGAAGTTGAGACACTACTTCCAGAGTTACGAAATGATAATTCGTACTGATCATCCGATTCGACAAGTCTTGCAGAAACCCGATCTGGCTGGCAGGATGATGAAGTGGTCGGTCGAGTTATCAGAATTTTCCATCAAGTATGAGTCGAGAGGAGCAATCAAAGCTCAAGCATTAGCCGATTTCCTAATAGAGTTAACCCCTCCGGCCGAGGAGAACACGGCCAGTGAAACTCAGTGGATTCTATCGGTTGATGGTGCCTCAAATCTAGGAGGAAGTGGAGCTGGAATTGTCTTGGAAGGCCCGGGGGGAATACTACTAGAGCAGTCGCTGCGATTTGAATTCTGAGCGAGCAACAACCAGGCCGAGTACGAGGCGTTGTTGGCTGGCATGACGTTAGCGAAGGAAATGGGGGCGACAAGTTTATCAGCATGAAGTGACTCTCAACTGATCACGGGGCAGGTAGCAGGCACTTTCCAGGCAAAGGACCCTCAACTGGCAAAGTACTTGGAGAAAGTCAAGCTCCTATCAGAAAATTTCCGGGAGTTCATACTTAACCACGTACCACGAGAGCAGAATTCGAGGGCCGATTTGCTCTCCAAGCTTGCTAGCACAAAAAAGCCGGGAGCCACTCGGTCGGTCATCCAAGAGACTTTAGCGCGACCAAGTATCAATGAACCTCAAGGGAGTGTTCTTTTCATCCAAGAAGAGCTCAATTCATGGATGGGACCGTACATCGCATATTTAACTCGGGGGGAATTGCCAGAGGATAAAAAGGAGGCGTCACTAATACAGAGGGAGTCAGCCAGATTCGTAGTCATCAACGAGAGATTGTATCGAAGAGGTTTCAGCTCTCCCCTTCTAAGGTGTTTGACCACATCACAAGCGCAGAGGGGGATGGACGAAGTACATAGCGGAATGTGGGAAAGCCATAGTGGAGGACGAGCTCTGGTATACAAGGTGGCGAGGGCAGGCTACTTTTGGCCGAGTCTGAGAAATGACTGCGTCAATTGGGTTCAAAAGTGTGACGGATGTCAAAGGCATGCAACACTGCACCACTCCCCAGCTGAACGACTCCACTCGATTTTGTCTCCTTGGCCATTCAACAAGTGGGGTATTGACATACTCGGTCCATTTCCGATTGCGGTGAGACAGCTGAAGTTTTTAATAGTGGCGGTAGATTACTTTAGTAAATGGATCGAGGCGGAGCCGGTCGCAACCATCTCGGCAGAAAAGGTCAGGTCTTTTCTTTGGAAGAATGTGGTCTGCAGATATGGAGTCCCTCAAGTGCTCGTTTCTGATAATGGGACACAGTTTGCAAGCGCGAGAGTTCGAGATTTTTGTAAAGAGGTCGGTATCCGAATGGCATTCACCTCTGTTGAACACCCACAGTCTAACGGTCAGGCGGAGTCGGCCAACAAGGTAATCCTTACAGGATTGAAGAAACGTGTGCAAGATTCAGGCGCTTCATGGGTGGAAGAGCTTCCCCGACTGCTATGGTCGTACCACACGACTGTTCATTCAACCACCCAAGATACTCCCTTCAATCTAGTATACGGAACCGACGCCATGATCCCGATCGAAATTGCAGAGCCTTCAGTGCGCTACAGCTTTTTCGGAGGAAGAATCCGACCAGGGAAGACGAGTTGATTTGGATTTGATCGCAGAGACAAGAGAAAAGGCAAGGATAAATCAAGTAGCGGCCCAGAGAAGAGCAGCCTTCAAGTACAATACAAAGGTAAATCCAAGAGACTTTGTCGTCGGCGACCTAGTTTTGAGGCGAGCTCAGCTAACACAGATGAAGAACAAGTTATCGCCTAAGTGGGTCGGCCCTTATAAAATTGATGATGTGGTTGGCAAAGGGGCTTACCGACTTAAGACCTTGGATGGAGGGATGATACCGAGAACTTGGAACGCGGCCAATTTACGTTTCTATTATAGTTAGTCTCTCTTCTATCTTGTATTAGGTGCACTCTTTTCCTAACTCAGCATTTTGTCCCCGTAAAAATAAGAGGGGTTTTGGCTGAGAAGGTTTTTAACGAGGCACCATAGTTCGTCTATTCTTCAATGAACATCATTATTGCTCATATTGTTTTTTCATATTTTATAAACTCGTGATTGTCGGCAAAAGTCCGGCTGGGCGAGTATAAATAACTCGAAGACAAAAAAGGGTGGCATGTTTCCCTAATCGGTATTTGAACGACTAGATGATTTGAGATTCATTTTTAACAAGAAAAATTGTGGCATTTTCTAGTCTGTATTTGGGCGACTATTGACATTGAGATTCAATTTTTAGACAAATTTGTCATTACTCAGGTCGCCATTTGGACGACTAGATGCTTTGAAGTTCATTTTAAGTTTAGAAAAATTGTAGCATTTCTCTAGTCGGTATTTGGACGACTAGATGGTTTGAGATTCATTTTTAACAAGAAAAATTGTGGCATTTTATAGTCGGTATTTGGGCGACTATTGACATTGAGATTCAATTTTTAGACAAATTTGTCATTACTCAGGTCGCCATTTGGACGACTAGATGCTTTGAGATTCATTTTAAACTTAGAAAAATTTTGGCATGTTCCCTAGTCGGTATTTGGACGACTAGATGATTTGAAGTTCATTTTAAACTTAGAAAAATTGTAGCATTTCTCTAGTCGGTATTTGGACGACTAGATGGTTTGAAGTTCATTTTTAACTTAGAAAAATTGTAGCATTTCTCTAGTCGGTATTTGGACGACTAGATGGTTTGAGATTCATTTTTAACAAGAAAAATTGTGGCATTTTCTAGTCGGTATTTGGGCGACTATTGACATTGAGATTCAATTTTTAGACAAATTTGTCATTACTCAGGTCGCCATTTGGACGACTAGATGCTTTGAGATTCATTTTAAACTTAGAAAAATTTTAACTTAGAAAAATTGTAGCATTTCTCTAGTCGGTATTTGGACGGACGACTAGATGGAAGTTCATTTTAAACTTAGAAAAATTGTAGCATTTCTCTAGTCGGTATTTGGACGACTAGATGGTTTGAGATTCATTTTAAACTTAGAAAAATTTTAACTTAGAAAAATTGTAGCATTTCTCTAGTCGGTATTTGGACGACTAGATGATTTGAGATTCATTTTTAACAAGAAAAATTGTGGCATTTTATAGTCGGTATTTGGGCGACTAGTGACATTGGGATTCAATTTTTAGACAAATTTGTCATTACTCAGGTCGCCATTTGGACAACTAGGTGCACTGGAATTCAACTTTTCACTTAAAAAAAAAAAAAAAATCGTCATTTTCTAGTCAGCAGTTGAACGACTACCTCCAACAGGGTTCAATTTATAACTTAGACAAGTTTTTGCCACTATTCAAATCGGCATGTGGACGACTGTGTTCCATCATTTTCATTTTCATTTTTAACATAGAAAGTTTTTTGGCATCTTTCTAGTCGTTATTTTGGACGACTAGATACTTTGAGATTCATTTTTACCTTAGATAAATTGTGGTATCTTTCAAGTCGGTATTTGGACGACTATATGCTTCGAGATTCATTTTTAACTTAGAAAAATTTTTGGCATGTTCCCTACTCGGTATTTGGACGACTGTGTTCACATTTTGGTCATTTTTAACTTAGAAATTTTTTTTTTTTCATTTACGATGATCATGATTACACGCTCAGATTACTCGGAAAACATCATTCCCTTGAATTGTGCCAAAAAAGGAGTAAGTTCACATTGAGCCCAAAAAGGAAAACACAACAATCGTTCTGAAACACATCTAACAATGGTGCGAAAACACAACATCCTAAACAAAGAACCTAATCATCCTCGGGGGGATCCATCAGCTCTCCATCAACAATCTCTTTGAAGTACCCCACACCACTAACATCCAGGTCCGCATGGAGGAACTTCACTTGCTCAATCGCAGCGTCAAAACCCGCAGTAAATTTCTTCAAGGCCTCAACCTTGGCAGCATGAAGTTCGGCCTCTGAGTTACTTAGCTCAACTTTGAGTTTAGAGACGTCGGTCTCAAAAACTTGGGCAGCATCGACATTCTTGTCCCGAACGAGTCGAGTCTCTTCAAGTTCCTTCATCATCAGCTCTTTCTCCTCAGCCCATGCCTTTCTTTCACTTTCGAACTCTCGGCGGCCATTGAGCAGCTTGTCTCTCTCATTAGACACCCATTTTAAGTCAGCTTTCCCTTTGTTCAAACTTTCTTCCAGGACGTTCACCCTCTTCCCTTGAAGCTTCAGTTCTCGCGTCAAGCTCCGGACTTTATCCTCATTAACTATTGAAAGAACAGAAAGTCGGTTGGACAGAGACTCGATGCCTTTCACAATGGAGAAAGCACTCATCTTCGACAAGTCTTCCTTGTCACCCTCCAACAGGTCTGTCCCACGAATGTGGTCAGAATGATTGAACTTCTCGTCCCAGAATGACGCGATCTTTCCGCTCTCGTTTCCACGGTCTATGGGCTCCCACCCTTCACCGAGACACATACTCAAGGTCCTTTCGGCCGACTGAGCCTCATTCTCTTCATCCCTGTCACCACCCTCTTCATTGGCAACTATGGTTTCAAGATTCACGACCGATATCGACTTATCTACCTCTCGGCGACGCTTGAGCGGGGGGGCACCAGTTTGTTTCTGCGGAAATGGCGTACCCGACTCCCCCACCCTCTCGGTCGCTGACCCTTCAACACCGGCAGCCTTGGACGCTTCTTGCTCTTTCCACAGTTTCCTAAGATCTCGGTTACTCAGGCTGGCCATGTTCTCTGCAAAAAGTTCAAAAACACACCATGTTCACAATAAAATTCGGAAAACAAAGCAACTGCATAATCGCAAGAAAAAATCGTAAGTACCTATGTAGATTTTCAGTTCAGTGGGCCTATTCTCTAAATCTAGAAGTTTGGCAGTGTTGAAGATGGTTTTGAGGTCTTCAAGTTTTTTTACATCCTCTCGGTCATTTTCCGATAATACGTCAGCCTCTAACCCCTTAATAGGTGAAGGTTTCTCACACCAGTACAATGGATACCCTTCGAGTAAGTTTTCGTTACCCGCTGTACAACGAATCCGGAAGTAGGCCCTCTTAAAGTCTTTATAGGATTGCTGGAATAGGGATAATAACCCTTTGCCAGTAACTCCACCCACCGACACCCAACTACTACGCTTAGATATACGACTCTCAAAAAAGTAAAAGAACTTGTTGGTAGTAGGCGAAATACCGAGACCCGAGCATAAAATTTCGAACCCACGAACAAAGGCCCATCCATTCGGGTGAAGTTGGGTGGGAGCCACGTTTAACACTCGAAGCACTCCTTTCTCACACTCGGTAAGTGGCCACCTAACCTTAAGTTTGGAAATAAGTGTAGTATAACAAAATGTAAAGCGTTCTAACGGCGGGGCACTAGGGAAACTAACACAGACGGGTTCCCTATCTACACACGGCTCACAAATAATAATACCAGCGCCCTCCCTACACACTACATGCTCCCGACAAAAGCTATCTATGGCAGCACGAGAATTCAGGGTTGAGTCACATTTCAGCACATCATCCCTAACCCATTTGTACAACTCCTTATAACTTACGGTGGTCATTTCCATTTTATAAACAAAACCTAACTTTACTGACGGCAGAGGAAGAATTTGGCTTCAAAATAAAAGCTACTAAGACAAGGGGATAAGACAAGGGGATAGATGTGCGTACCTAGGTTTCACCCTCACAACCTTTTCCCACCCAACACAGGCACAGAACCGCCGTGCGCCGCCGTAGACCACAAGAAAGCAAGAAACTGTCATCGGAGGAACGGCACGCGCAGAGCAGGAGGCAAGAAACGAAATCAAAAGGTTCCCAAATGACGCATATTTATAAGAGGAAGGGCCGCGCGTGAGGCGTGAGGCCCAAGAGTTACAACGCGCGCGGGGGAACTGAGACCCAAGGGTCGCAACGCACGCCAAACGTTACAATACCTGCGCTGGAGGGTCCCACACTTTCGAATTTAAATGACAAACACCTCCACGTGGCATCGCAATGACTCAAATCCTGCAGCGCCGCTTTCGCAATAAATGCATGTCTCTTCGCGGAAGAAATGAAAAGACACACCTCGGTATAAGAGCCCATGCTGACCCTCCCCATTTAGGGGCACTCGGTATACAGTAGACTGCGCTTAAGCGCAAGTTGACCGTCGTGGTCGGACACCGACTCCCTCAAGCCCTTTCGCCTTAACGGCTTAGGGCTGGAAGGCAAGTGTACCGTCATGGTCGGATGCCGACTCCCTCAAGCCCTCACGGTTACGGTCGTACACCAACTCCCTCAAGCCCTTTCGCCTTAACGGCTTAGGGTTGGAAGGCAAGTGTACCGTCATGGTCGGATACCGACTCCCTCCAGCCCTCACGGTTACGGTCGGACACCGACTCCCCCAAGCCCTTTCGCCTTAACGGCTTAGGGCTGGAAGGCAAGTGTACCGTCATGGTCGGATGCCGACTCCCTCAAGCCCTCACGGTTACGGTCGGATACCGAGATGGTGGACATGCGTACGGTGGCTTCGCTAGTGACTCAACCAGTTTCCCAAAGGTGAGCTCGGTTTTCAGCGGACTTGACACGGGAGCACCCCATATCGGATTTCTCTCGACACCTCGGCATGGGCCCAACCAATCAGAACCTGTC